CTGATCGAGACCCCCTCGCCAAGGACCCCCCGCTGCATGCATGCATGTGAGAACAAAGGCTGGAGTCGGTCGGAGGGTGGGACTCACACGGGACACTGATGATGCAGAGCGAGTGTTTCATGGGTTTGATTGGATCTTTAAATGACAGATATAAATGAATAATTGCCTGGCTCTCAGATCCCAAATCTGCTGAACAAGATGTCAAAATCGCATTTGCGCCTGCAAATGAAGATAAATGATAATTAGGGAGACCCGAGAATTAACTTTTTAAGTAGATTTAATAACCTCCCACAGTTACCGTATCTGTTGTAACTTCCTTCTCCCTGCAGTTAATCGGCAGGTCGTGCAGCTATCATCTCTGGATTGTGAAGCTCAATTGGATTGAGGGAAACCTGTGGTGCTCTGTGCCTTTCTAATCAATTTAGCCCCCTAATAGGTGTGTACTGATGCTTTACGTTGTGCAGAAATTGGCAGAATTTAATCTTGTTTTTGATTTTGTTGTGTTTAGGATTACACCCGAGAACAAATTCAGGTTGTTTCATGTGACCTCACATCACCCTCCAGCTGCTCCAATCATCAGGTTTTCCTCCCAAAATGGTTTTTGGGATATTTTGCTCGGTTAGGAACAGAATATGTGTGTGTGTTTGTGTTTGTGTTTGTGTGTATAGGAGACAAAGAGGGTGAGTAACAAGATAACAAGAAGCCTCTGACCTCCATCGTGAGGTCCAGCACTCACATCTAAGGTTAAATGCTCTGTGACGGCGAGGTGCTCGGGAAAGGTTAAAGCAACTCACAGCACATCTGAGTACCACACGCGAGTCACACAGAGAAGAAGAAAAAAGAAATACTGCTTGACAGAGGAAATGTCTCCAGTCGGCTTTGTGCAGTTTATGTTGCACGCTGCACGGATCAATCAGTCGATCAAGAGAAAATAACAAGCATACTTATTCTAAGCCAAACCATGGTGGTTTTTGAAACCAACTAGGTGGGTTTGGTGCTTAGACTTTAACTAACCCGTTAATCAAACCCGACAAGCAAACCTCCAGCATCGGCATCGCAGAAGGTGTATGAGAAGCAGAGGTTTGTTCTCGCTGGTTGGTTTGCGGACTGTCGTGGCTCTTTCCAGTGAATGCAAGTGACCATGTTTGGACTTGATCAGGGTGACGTAGAGACGCTCCGGTAAATACCTTTCAATCACAGGAAATCTGCTCAAGGTAGACTACACTTTATAGTCTATTTTACTAAATGAAAACCAAGCTGTATTGAAGACTTTAAACTATTGATTGAGACCATAAACAATGTTTACTGTGAAAGAAAAAGGGTCTTTTCTCACATACTACTTTCGAAAACCAGAGACGTCTCCCCCTGCTGGACAGTAGAGAGAATGCAAGTTTAAAACATCGGAATCGGCTTGATTCTTCAGAACCGGAGGTTGCTGCATAGTCGAGACGGCTTTCTGACGCGTGGGGAGGAGCTCATGTTGATCGAGTACTACACTTGTAGTGCAGTGGACATTTAAACATATGTTTATTCATATCACAGTTTATGTGGCGTATAAAGCTCTGTGTAATGCTAACGGCATGCAGAACCTTATTTAGAAATAGAATTGGTATTCCCACATTGTTCACTGGTTTCAAAAGGTCATAAACCTGATCGGCTGCTGTGCTTGTGTGTGTGTGTGTGTATGTGTGTGTCTGTGTGTGTGTGTGTGTGTGTGTGTGTGTGTGTGTGTGTGTGTGAGATCTGGAGGCAAATGAGGTGGGCTTGTGCAGACAAAGCAGCAAAGGAAGGCAGATCTTGCATTCTAATCAGTCCCCTGCTTTTGCTCTCAGGAAACCCTTGGCCAGAAGGCCAGGACATTTATGCATCGTGTCAATACCTGCAGAGATATCGAGTGAACACACACACACACACACACTGACCGAATACGAGTCCTACTCAGGGCAAAGGGGAAAAATTGGATGTGGAAGAACATTATCTAATTAATGTCTAGACAGCACATGTATGATCAGCTCCTGTCAGATGTCCCCTTGTGGATTCTTCTCTCCTGGTGGGTGTGACCTTATGTGGCCCCCAGAGGACACCCGCTCAGTTCTGGAGTGTTAAAAATGTCTTGAGGCGTTTGCGATGGGAGGGAGGAAGTTACTGATTCAGCCTGGTGGTGGAATTTGTTTGCAAGGTGACAAGTGTTGCCGTGCATGAACTAACAAATCTACATGGAGAGAACAATAGCTAATTAAGCCCCTGACAAATGTTACATATTATTCATGTTATTTCTCAGAAGAATGCTGTGCACTCTATACTTTTACAAACTGAGCGTATGGCTGTCGGCCACTGATGTAATGCTTTAGCACACACTTCAGTTCACTCCCCCAACAGCATACTGAACCATATACTATGTACTATGTCCTTGGTGGGATTTAACTTACATGCTTATTGACCCCAGTGCTGCATGTTTAATTCAATGCTTTGATATGCAATCCTAAATAATTGAATCTACAATATGGGATAACAAGGACAGGACAAGAAAATTCCGTTGGAGGCCCAAAGTCCTTCCATGGTCACAACAAGGTTAAAGTGCATGTATGAAAACCTACGGAATTGATGCACGGATGGCATCACAGCCAGAATCCATTTCAGCAAATAATCTATGTCCATTTAAATAAATATAATCAGTAGTGCAGCATGATTGGTACGTATTTGAATAGATATCGTCAACACAGATAACATATTTCTGTATACAGTACAGACATGTGAGGACCAAGGAGATAAACCCTGACGGTTTACGTGTGTGTCCATAAAAGATCACAACTCTTCTCACTTAGAGCCGACCTCCTAACTCGTCCCAACTTTCTTCTCAAAATAGTAAAAGTTATTCCAGCCTGGGTCATTAAACGGCCTCAAAACGCCACCTAATGTCACGTGAACATGGACATGAACACTGGCCGGAGAAGATCTAACTAGTTTGAAATCATTAAAAGGCCGTTGTTATGTTAATTGATTGTTACTTCTTTGTCCCGGACACAGACGTTGGTGCTTCTGTTGCCATGAGCTGATTCCAGGTTGCTTCACATTGCAGGAACAGGTGTTGTTAGAACAGCGCGGACTGTTTGCTCATGCATAATGATCGGGGATACGTCAGGCAGCCAAGTGGTCGCACACAAAACCCCGAGGAGGATTCCAACAGAAGTCTTCCGCCAAAGAGATATAATGATGCAAACAAATGTTCTATGCTTAGTGTACTGGACATTGGCCAAAGGGCATCCGAATCATGCTAACAGACGGTGTTAAAGGGGACACGTCGTGCTTTCGGTCTCAAACTTGTATAACTTGTAATCGCAAAACACTCTTCAAGCCGTCCTGTTAAAAAACTCAATGTGCTCTTAAAGGGTTTTGAGAAAAATACTTTGCGGAGGTTGTTCTCAAGATGTGGACAGTGTGTTCTCATTAACCTACATGTGGCACAGGATGGAGATACAAATGTTGATTAAATCACAGGTTTTCAGATTTAGGAAGCCCATGAAAACATTAACTGTGGTCTCATTTCACAGTTGGTAGGCACTCTAGATACATTTCCCCTCAAGCCCTGGAAATAGGATGTTTCGTGATAAGTGCCCTTTAAAAGACTTAAACTCACGGCAACACCTTGTTTGAAGGGTGAACTTTGACTCTGGGTCGGTTTCTTTGTTTTATTTTTACAGGGTGTAATGATGTTGGCTGAAGTTCCATTAGCAGCGTTTAAGCATCCTAATCAGGCCGTTCTGTCATCCCATTAAGCTTGACTGCCTCTATAATTAAACGGTTTTTACCAGCGACATGGAAGACGAATGGTCACGCTTTGTTCCTGGAGCACAGTCCGCGGCTTTTAGGTCCACAGCTTTTTTTCCACCAAATTCCATTCCATCTTTTAACGGACTCAACAAGCACCCTTCATGGAGGAGGCTTTAAGTTTCATATTGCAGTCAAGTTCAATAAAAAGAAACTCCAATATCTGAACATGGGAAATATCAGTGAATGAATAATGTGGCAATAAATACATTGTATCAATACATTCTCACATCACACAAGCTGAGAAATGAATTCCCCCTGAATAAAATCACTCACATTTAATGAAGCATAAGTGCCTAATTGAGGGAATTGTGTCTCCAACAACTGAGCAACGGATGAACTGAAGCTGGTGGATCCCCGGTTAGCCCGGCTTTCAACGGGTAACAGCAACATTTCGACATTGAGGCTAAAGAATAATATCTCAATTAATCAACTTCTCATTGATGACTCACGCACAGTGACATCACTGATGAAATAGTAGATATATCAAGGCCGGAAAACATCTAAAACAGCTATTTGATTATCAATATAGTTGCAGGATAATCAATCAATCGTTGGATCTCTAATGAACAGTGAATTCTAAAGCAATTAATACCAAAAAAGGTTCACTTTACAGTAAGAAAAATCGCTACCAATCATTTATTTTCCTCAATCCTCACCTGTAGCAGATCCTTTGAACCACTGCTTCATCTTTGACATCTTCTCCACTTTCTTCCTCTAACAAATTATAAATAGGCAAAAAACGCCTGAATCCCCTTTGCAACACACAATTTTTTGACAATAGAATGACGCACACAAGTTGTTTTTAAATGACAATATGTCTTTTATTTTCTATATTTTAAAGGTTTATTATTTACAAAGAAAATAAACAAAAAAAAAATCAAAAAGATTTTTTGACAAACACTGTTTGTCTGCATATTGTTGTAAGAAAGTTTACATTTAATCTTTCTTTCATCTGTGTCAAGTAACCAACTGATATTTCTTTTTGTCTAAGCCTTGGATTACATGAATGAGCTGAACGAGGACCGTGTGAGTGGGCTTTAAGAGGACCGAGCAGCTGGTCTGCCGCTCTCTCTCCACCGCGCGCATCATCAGTAAACATATGAAACCTGTGGTCATCAAAAACCAAAATCCACGTTTGGTTCGTCCTCACTGGGCACAATTAGTCTCACTTCCTTTTTGGATGTCTTCTTTATTTTTCTCAAAAACAAACAAACTTAAAAAAACAACAACAACAACAACATACAAATATATGTGCTGGTTTTTTTTTGAGAGTCTCTATACTGCTAATGTGTAAGCTTGTTAGTTTGCGTTGTACATCACCATTAATGCCCATTCCGGTATGTTAGCTGTGATTGGTGAAAAAAAAAGCACATAGATAGGAAGCTCTCCCTTCCAAAGGCAAGTATCAAAAACAGCACAAAGCAACAGTGCTGCTATCCATCGTGACTGTGTACTAGTTCCTATACACTATGGCATATTTACGATTAAGCGCTTTTCTGTTGTATGTGGAACAATCCCCCCCCCCCCCCCCCCACCTCGTACGGGGTCCCGGGGATGTTGCTCCCGCCTTAGCTCGCTCGACGCCGCGCCTAGTTGAAAGAACCTGTGTACCTTTTCTTTTATTAGTAAATCAGAAAGTGCAATTGAAAACAAAGACAACGACTTAGAATGTTTCGCTTTGGCCAGTTTCATTCCACACATCAGTATTCAAGCCAGAAGTCAGTGCCTAGCTACAAAGAAAGGTATAACGTTGCCCCAAATGTTGTACAACGTCTCGCCGAGCGCGATATTACTGCTAAAAGTTGCAGTTTTTTTTCTTCTCTTTTTAACTGTACACAACCCCTTTAAATATTCTACGTAGCTTGACCGAGAATGTTAGGAAAGAATAATCTGCCTCTAGGAGTTCATTGGAGTACCAATTGAATAAAACGGAGACATTTGGCCATCACTTCTTACTCCTTTCTTGTCTAAAAACACTGAGACATAGAACACAGATTATAGGGAGAATGAACGCGCGGTTGTGTGCAGGAACACCCCTCGACCAAAGCCCACCCCGCCACCTACGCGCCGCGCTCACACTCGGAAACAAAAATGATGGAACATGGCTATAGTTTTAGGCACAAATACTTAAGAATGTCCATGTGAAAGGTCAATGCTCCTGTTCACACACAGTTAACGTCTAGGCAGACAGACAATGAACAAAACGTAACATCACATTTAACGCCAACATTTTCGAGATAGTATCTTTTTTAAGTATTTGTGACAGTGCATGCTTTCGTGACAATGGTGGGTTGACTGCATCGGCACACTATCGACACAATCTGTAGCGAAGACGAGTAATTTTTTTTTTTCTTTTTTTTTCTTTTTCCAAACGCCATTTCGGAGGGCTTAGTCACTTTGAACTGGGCTTAGTCACTTTGAACTAATGGGACGTTAAAAGTATGACTCTAAACAGTCCGTTTTGCAGGAGAGACAGCAGGACGGCCGCGCGCACAAACGACTAATGTGCGTTCAGGGAAATGGCCCGTAAGCCGCAAACGGCTTGCCTCTTTTAGTCATCAAATACTTTTATTATTGCAAGATTAAAATAATAAAAACAGCATTTTTTGTTGTTGTTGTTGATAGATTCATGAAATTCTGGCTTGACTTTGCCTCCCTGCCTCAGTTTAGAGTACCTAAGCCCACGTAATGGATTTACATGAGAAAAAAACCTTAATGCAAACCAGCATTTCTTTTCTGTGAATGTCTCCCGTTCTGGATAGCTGATGACTTTATCCTAAAACATACAAGTTGAAAATGCCGTGCCGGGCTCTTCATCTACAGTTCGTGTGATACGACAGCGTACGGTTCAAGAAACAGATTTAATCCCCCCCAAAAAGGTGTGATGAATTTAAAAACAAAACGGAGGCCACCAACAATACATTTCATAAAATGACCAGTTTGACGGTCTCCTGCAGTTTTGGGCAAATGAGGCGATTGGAAAAGACATTTGCTTTCAATAGGATGACTTTAAAATGAAGTTGTGTATTGTGGGTAAATATATGTTCACTCGACGTGCTAATGCTAGGAATAAAATACAGAGAAAACTCCCCGTCTTCCAATCAGCATCAAGCCGGGCTAGCTATTGCATTAAGGTTTGTTTATCCCTTATGAAACATATGTATAAACCTTCTTCGCGTATAGATGATATCCAGGTTCCTGAAGTAAGACATTGTTATGATAGAGAATGCACCACACAGTATCTGTAAATACTAGTTCTACAAAACTATTTACAGCACACATATAGGTAATCTTTATGTCACAGTCTATTGCATAATGGTGATAATCTTTAGTTTATAAATATTATAAATATACACAGAATTTTTAAGTAACGTTACGTAACATCTCAGCCATCTGAAATTAGCAATAGAAAAGAATAGCATCCATCCATGTCTTTCTCCCCACTCCATTCTCCTTGAAAATGAACAAAGAAAGCAGCATTTCTATGATCGACTCCCTTTGGACCCATAACACTGTCATGGTTTGCACGTTAGTTGCCGTGGGGATTTAGTGGCTCAGCATACTGTCGCTTTTGTCGCTGAGAGCAACGTAACACTTAGTTCCGTATCTCGGGTTGGTTCCTGAAACGAGGGTGCAGGAAACTGGTGTGAGATTAATTTTGTGAGTGTGTGCTTTTTGAGATTATTTGTCAGAGTTGCTTGCATGTATTGCTCCACAGTGGTACCTAAAGCTGCTTAATATGAGAAGATATATATATATTTTTTTTTTTTCCTCAATGGTAAAAAAGAAAGAAAGAAAAAGTCGTCAGAATTCACAATGCATTCCAATTAAAAAAAAATGAAAGCAAATTAAATAAAAATAAATAAATAAACATCATACATTGTATATAATTCTTTATATTTCTCAGAAAGGAAGACTCATGTTTATACTACAGCTTTTAAATTGCCATTGCCAAATATTCTACTTGGATTTTATACACGGTCACATATTCGCACACACACACTTTCACGCATCCATACACACAGCGGTATATATGTATATATATATACACATACATATATATGTATATATATATGGCGTAAAATAAAAGAGAGATGTATCTGTATAATATACATTCTTAAGTTAAGGGAGACAATTAGTCTAAAATATAATACAAGGGATCGTATGTACAAGGGTTTCTATGAGGTTATCTTAAAGAAAACTGGAGAGAAACAAAAATGCTGAAGTTCCAAATCTTGATCTCTTTTGTTGTTCCTCCATTTTTAAAAATGAATCAAAACTTTAAAAAATGAAAAGGGAAAAATGGGATCATAAATTTGATGCAAAACGCATTTTGTCTTGCTCAGTGTCTGTACTGCTCAGGACAGAATCTCTCCTAGAACCAGGGGATTCCCTGTGCTGGGTTGAGGATGATGATGATGCTGCCGCTGCCGCCGCGGCCGCTGCTGCCGCGGCCGAGCGCACTGGGGGCAAAGCTCCTGACGACATCTGCCGGAACAAATTGACTCGCTGCGGCACCGTGGTGCGGATGCCGCTCTGCGGATTCATCCCCTGGACCACCGCCGCTGGCTGCGCGATGGAGGCCAGGGAGTCTCCCGAGGCCGGGTGGACTCGCGGTCCCAGAGACGTGTCATGTGGCAATGACGGCTGCGAGGCCGACAAATGTCTGACATCTCGGCTCAAGCTTCCCGACTGCAGCGCCTGTGTGCTCTTGTGGACCTCCCCCCGCTGAGGTGAAGGGACCCGCTGTTGCTGAGGCGACGGCTGCTGCGCTCCGGTGACCGCGGCCACGGTCGACGTGGCGGGCTGCTGCTGCTGGGCGAGCTGCTGGGCGAGCTGCTGCTGGGTGGGGAGGGACGGCTGAGCGAGGGGCTGCTGGAGGAGCGACAGCTGGGAGGCCGTGCGCGAGCTGTACTGGAAGCTGCGGCCGGCCAGAGGGGTCTGCACGGGGGGGCTGCACATCGCGGCCGTGAAGGAGCAGGGCGACATGATGGCCCCTTGTTGCTGCAGTGGGGTCTGAGCGATGACGGAGGACGAATTCAGGCTGCCGTGGGAGAGGCTGGGAACAGGGTAGACCCCCTGCGCCGCGGCAGCGGCAGCGGCTGGCAGCATGCGGGCAGCGGAGGCGTTGGCAATAGCTGAAGCACTGTAGGTCAGGGGAACAGAGGACTGCTGGAGCTGACTGGTGCCGAAGGCAGTGGGGAAGGGAGGCTGGGCTGGTGAGTTAATGATGGAGTTTCCTGACATTGGCGTTGAGTTCATCCCGGTGACTGACAGCTTGCGGTCCACCATCATCACCATCTCCCTGTCCTGACGTATAATCTGCTTCAATATCTCGTTCTCCTGCGTGTTGAAAACGCCGGCGTTCAGATCCTTCTGGAACTTCTGCAGCAGCAAGGAGTTCTTCTTCCCTGTTGAGGTGCAGTCAGGAGAGGTGAGCACATAAAGCAGTGGCAAACTCTGGTTGCCCTTAACCACAGGAAGAGGGCAGGATAATGGACAGTGATAACATAATAAGATGCAGCTTGGACGTGTTTGTGGGAAAACACGTTCAATAGGGAATTGGCATTTTGCATTTTTGCCACGTAATATGAAATAGAGGAGCTTTATCCGCCAAATCACTACTAATATCAACTCTTTCCATGTCACAAGCTGCGTCTTTTGACGTCCACTAAGTTTTTCTCTCAAAAGATATAAAGTGTAAAGGACAAAATGGTGATGATTATGGGAAATATACAGTTTGAGAGGAGTGAAGGACACATAAGGAGACAAAGACTACTGAAAGTGTGACGCGATCGCGTGGACTGTGAAGGTGCTGATGTGGACGATGACACACAGAAGAATACTGATCTGAGTTGTAGCCACACATCACGTTACTGGACAGCGTTTTGTCAGAGCAAATTCTAGACTAAGAATATTTAAAGCCACTTTCTATTTAAATCACAACAACAACTGTGCTGAAACACACCACAAAGACAAATAGAATACCATTTAAGGAAAAAGAATAAAAGTGGTGACAACAAAAACGAGCAAAGGAAGTGACACATTCCTAACACACTACCACAGACTGGGAATATATTTATACGTTAAACATTTATGGAAAACTAAAACTTCACTCATCTCACCACAGAATGCCGTGTTATCGTTAAATCTTTCAATTAGCATGGAATTGACTAAAGGTTTAGATGAATTTCCATTAAATAAATTGTTAAAAAAATATAAGTTAAATAGTATTAAAAGTACTGTTCTGTCTTTTTGAGTCCACAGGCGTGAGAATCACAACTCACAGAGCCGGGTGATTAAAAACTGGACAGAAGCGTCTTTTAAACACCGACTGTGGTAAAACGGCCAAGCATGACGGACGTCTTGAAACTGGTCTTTTGTAGAAATAATTGCCACAGTTAACAATAATACTAATACAGATATTTACTGTGAATACTACTGTGTCCAAATGCATTTAGAGGATTTCTTTCCTGTAGTTACTGTTGACCTTGTGCATCGACAGGCTATTCTTCAGTGAAGAAGACGAAGAGTTGACTTTTAGCGTGCCGAAGGTTTTAGCCACAGTCAATCAATCATTAAGCCCCGTCCTTGGAGGCCGAAGATTTCTGCACTGAGCTTCACACCTGAGCGGCATTTTTCTGGACGTCTTTCTCCGCTCAAGGCTGTCAACAGGCCGCGCGTCGGGCTGTCGGACTGGATTGATGCCATTCAGCGGCGGCTACGGGTCGGGGTTGAAGGCTAAAACTAGCACCACGCACTGGCCACGAGACTGCCGTTCACTTACGAGGCTGCTGTCATAGCGTTTATAAAGGCAACGGTGTTAAACTCTGTAGATTGGAAGGACAACACATATTCAACAATTCCTGCAAATAGAACCTGTGGAGATGTGAATGTCTGCTGGGAGTTGGACGAAAAGGGGGCTTCTGTTAGGATTTCAGGGCAACAAGCATCAGTCGCTTCCCGCTGCCCTTTTCTTCTTATTGCTCTCGTCCTCTAGTCTCTCTTTGACATTTCATCCTCTTCTTTTTCAGTTAAAAGGTGTGCAAAAGGTAAATGGAAACTTACCAAACAACAGAACGGACAATTAGAGCTAAATTGGTTATTTTAAGAAGAAAATGGTTTTCTTTCACATGTTCTAAAGAAAGCTTCTGTTTTATACACTGAATTTTAGCTTCGGCAACTGAGAGAGAATTATCTGAATGGCTGAGAAAGTCAATTGTGGCAGGAATCGGTTTGAAACGGTATAAAGTCATGTTAAGCTTTAATGCATTTCATTTTCTATCATCCCTAAGCTGAAGAAACTTACGACTAACTAGCTGAATGTCTGGAAACATTTTAATGCCAGTTAAACTAGATCCCAGTAAATGTCCCAGCATTAATATAGACAAAGACTTAATAGTAATACCTGAGTTTGATTTGCACCCAACAAACACATTATTTGTTTAGAAAAACATAGTCTGTTCTGAGCGTTGAAATAGTTTTTACAGTGCAAATTTCTACAGATGGATCTTATAATAAGAAAACACAAAACTTCTAGTGGATATTTTCTGATTTTCAAAATAGCAGCTTTCCCAGTGAATTAACTCATTTCTGACAAATGCAGTTCACCTGATCTATGAACTGACTGCATATATTAAAGAGAGTAAAAATGTAACAAAAAAATGAAAAAAATATATAAACACCACTAATGGGTAAATTAATGTTCCATTTTTTTCCCATACAAAACTCTGAATTGAAACAGAAATTGGATCAGCTATGGGTCGAGCCACCATTTAAACATTAATCTCGGTATTAAATTAGTAATTCTTCTTTTCTGTCACAATAGAATCCCCGATGGTAGATCAATATACGAACTTCATCAATTGAAAAAAAATAATACAGGAATCAACCCATATCTGATGTCAAAAACAGAAAAAGAAAAAAGCCACTAACACGCCAAACAGATAAAAACAAGCAAAACACCAACATCTTAATGTGCACAAACATCATATAAATAATGACGGCTGTATTTGTGAAAAAATAAATACACAAATTTTGAGATGCAAACAAGGCATTACAGAGACACATTTTTTGTACTGAAATAATTTCATCAGTAGTTTGTGATAAATTGTTCTCTCTTATGAGTCACTGCAGGACATCTTTTGTTGAGGGTTATTGATAGAACTTATTTTAAAAGTATAAGTGTTGAAATGTGTGTGAGTTAAAGAATGAAATAAACCTCTGCTCTCCACATCTTGTCAAAATGCCATTACTGCTCCTATCTCAAAATATTTTAAACCTTTTATCGTATATTATCAGAATAATCTAAATTTCCCTCAAATATTTTACACAAAGACATAATTAATATTTCAAGCCTGACAATCAGAAACAAAGACGCATTGGTGAAAACATGGATATATAATGAAATGTAACAAAAGGTGTGCGTGGCATTGCATTAGTAAAGTCTTTTACTAATTTGCAGACATGGTTTTGTTTGTGAGTTTACTTTGAACAAAAGGTTCAAAGAATAAATACACATGTCACAGAGCTGAGCATGTGTCTGTAATCCAGTTAACTATTCTGTGAAACTATCTTACAAAATAAACATGGGATGCAACACTGAGTGACTAATCCTTTGTTTCATTGATTGTCGTAGTTATGGACATTTTGAATGTGTCCATCAAAAACGCCTGCAGGACTGGTGCGGGTGACTTATGTGTCACTGATGCAGGAACTAAACAGTTCATGTAACAAGAGGATGGATTTGAGACCGGATCCATTTAGCAAGCCTCTGTAGGTCAATTTGTCCCTGTTCGAGTACTGGAATTGGAATGAAGTGTTTACCTGATGCCTACTCGTCGGCCAGGACACTCTTGAAAACGAGATGTGCTCGTCTCAAGACGGACTCCTGGTCAAATAATTTTTAGATAGATAAAAGATAATGTCAAATGTGCAACACGTTATTGGTTTCAAAGCATGGTTACTTTTCTTTCCTTTTTTTTTTTTTAGAGCAAGACAAGCACGTAACCAAATGCAGTTCATATATAGAAACGATACAACCAGCACGGATCATGACAGAGTATCTTCCCTCGTATGAGACAAAACCCCCTTCATGGTTATCCTGAGAGGACGGGTCAAACCACTCTGAGAAGTGGCCGTCAGAGTGGGAAGCTTTTATTTTTCTAACTCAGCTGGTCATAAAAAGGGCAAATGTAGATTTGGACCGTTGAGGCCAAACGGCAGGTCGTGAAGGGACTTCACCGTGGGGCAAATAAAGATTTTTATTTTAACCTAGCCAAAACAATAACGCAACCGTGTCTCCTGTGAATTACGTTCAGATGCAGTTCATTCAAGTAGTCTTTGGTGGTGTGATGCAAGAAGTAGGTGGACATTCGTGTGGCACGTGGGGAGGCGTGGCGGTTGGCTTCCGGATGGATTGAAGCACAAAGCTCCAGATGATGGAGGTTTGCGCCCTTTGATAGACAAAAAGTCAGTGTTCTCCTTTGAAAAAATCACCACCTTCTTTCTCCAAACTCTACCAAGTAGTTGTATTTGTCTCAGTTGTCATGTGAGATAAAACAAGAAGAAGACAATGAAGATTTTAGCAGATTTGTTTGATTTTTAACTCTTGCAGGTAATTTGGATGTAATCCACTCATCCAGGGGCCACCATTGCCCCCCTCCCTAGTAAAAACCGATTATACATGAACGTAATTCTGAGGAGAAAAGGTTGTCTCAACAGCGACAGTGTTTTCTGATTGGCTCTGAGCGGTCTTGTTCATAATCTGTTGCTCATTGCGTGTTGCTGAGTTGCCCCGACACTACAGTATTTCAATGTTGAGTCAACACTAGGGTTGCAAAGCACTTCAATATTGACGTGCCTGTGTCCGGCAAAATGATGCACAAATACAAAGCCATGACAAAGAAAAAACAACGATAGCAGATAGAGAAGTAGATACGGACTGCAAGCTTAAGCCACTGATGTGAGACGACATTGGCACACTGTCACTATGCGAATTCCACTCCAGTTTTGAAGTCAGGTGATATTTTTTCACGTTAATGTAACTATTGCAAACAAAGCAGCAAACATTATGGCCGGGATAGCGGTTTGTTGTTTGTTTGATCATTTTACGATGATGAGCTGCTCCGGTTGTCCGTGCAGCAGCAAAAAGGGTTATTTTTACAAATGACTTCCGCTTCTTCCAACACCAAGATATAATATGCAAACATTTTACTTTGTTCAGCACCAGTAACCTGTTGCCTTACGCGCTACTATTCATTTATTAGCATCCACCTGCAATTTAAATATCGCTTTTTGTTTTTAGTTGTAACAGGTGAACATGCACTAGTCAAAGACAGCAAAGGTACAGACTCTGCTGTAGCGGCTCAAATACAAAGAAAACCCGAGTCAGAATCAAACACGTGCTACTCACACTTTAACAAATTGCCATTTCCTTCTCTTATAAACAGGGGTCGGGTAGCAGGTCTTAAGATATGTGCAGTAGCATCTGAGGTACCAACACAGGATGAAAATAAGCCTGAAACTTTACTTTCTAAATCCTTCTTATCACTCAAATGTGACACTTAAATGTGCAGATTTATTATTGGCAACTTATTCATATATCAAAAGGAGAAAAATAATATTTAAAAAGATACATTTTTTCTAATGCAGCAACACATAAGCGGTGACAGAGACATACGTTACGTTCTACTATTTCCTCCGTAGACAAAACTTTCACATTCTATGCTCTGCATGTTTGAATCGTCGGCGTCTTAGTTCCAATCAAAGTATCAGAGCAGACTGAACACGTTTGAATGAAGAGTGGGGAAACATTAGGGTCCACGCAACTAATTATTGCCCTGCTTGTGTTCCATACATGTGCCCCTTTTTTCTTAAACTTGAACAAATATATGTGTCTGAAACATTATCACTTATGCTACTCCAGTCTCTCAAGGCCAGGATCTTCTACAAAGCCGACGCGGAGCGGACGTCACCTGGCCCGGCTCCTTGATTTAGACGACTCTGATATGGGGCGGGGAGCTGCTCATACCCAGGAGTGCAGATGAGTGGAAAGAGGGCCAGACACACATGCATGTGAGGTTAGCTTCCATCAATTCGCTGACATCCAGTGGGGGTGGGAGGTCAACACCCAACCAACGAGGGGGGCGGAGTGACTCCCTCCCGGACAGCGACATGCACTGCCTTCCAGTTAATCCAACCACAAAACTCGACTTTGGTTCTTTAGAAGGATTAATGCTGGTTACAACACTTTTTTTTAAAAATGTCATTTAATACAAAGAAAGACGGAAGTTTAAAAAAAAAACAACAACAACAAAAACAAGACAGCATACCGGCCATGCAGCCCAAGATGGCGGACACAATGCTTTTATGAAGAAAGAAGGCCAACGAATACTGATAAAGACAAGACGACAAGGCACGATGACAGGCAAGAGATCCGAACAACCAGACAGGACGGGAGTCGGACGTGGGCGGGTCTTACCTATGCGATCCAATCGGTCGATGGCGACCGTTTCGAACGCGCGCCGCATCATGGGGTACTCCTCCAGCACCTCGTTGAAGTGATCCACGGACAGGGAGAAGAGTCGACAGTAGGTGTCAGCGCGCACGCTCGCCGTTCGCCGGCCCTTGGTGAGCAGACAGATCTCTGTGCGGCGGGAACACAAAAGGAGGACAAAGGGTTGAGAGCGCGGAAAACAGGGGAAATAAAGGAAATCATTACGGCAACTGCTGTTACAGATTAGCATACAGATGGATCTTGTGCACGAAAGGTTACAGAGGCAGAATGTGAACCATCAGCGGCGCCGTCGCTCGCATTATACTAAGATAATCTGTCATTCTGGGGGGAGCTGAGGGTCCCAATACCCCCTGCGGTAGTCTGCTTTGCAAAGGAAATAACTAAAAGCCTGTAAGGCGTGACTGCACAAAAAGCTCTGCATCCGTTCTCAAATGTAATGGGCAGCTAAACGACGGTGTGGTTGGTACGTGCAGAGGAGTGAACATCGCTCTGTGCAACGTTTAAGATCAATAGAGGAACACATTAAAACACATGGCATACATTGTGTTTCTCTTTTGTATTTTACTGTAATTACCTGTGTGCAATCAATGCACCTGTCTGTAAATGAATGGGGGAACAGTAGATCTACTGGTAGTTGTCATTATGAGTGGTGTAGGAAGTACTTGGAATTGAATTTAAGTTAATTTAGCCATGTGGTGATCGACCCTAGGATGGTGCCCTTATAAAGGGTCATAGGATGATTAAAGGGGAAGGAAATTGGCAAAGTAAATTTGTATGACTTAAAAAAAGATTTTCATTTTACAAATGAATAAAATCCCCTCAGAGAGGTCCAATAAGACACGAGTGTTTACCAATAAATCACAAATACGGATACAATAGGGATGGTGACCTGTTGTTTATGGTGTGAAAAGTACACATTGTGCTTTTGAAATGTAGTGTAGTAGAAGCAAAGAAAGGGATGAGGTGGAAATACAAATAAGTAATGTATCTCCAAGTTGTAATTAAGTAGAGTGCTTGGGTAACGCTAGATAATAATTCTAGAGTCACATCAGTGACTAGAAATCACTTTCTATCAGTAGGACGCTTATTCTTGCCGCTACAAGAGAGCAATTGATTGATTGCACGAACTGGTGTTAACAGTAAACGTTACATGCTGTTGACTCAACCTGAAGCAAAGGCACCTAAAAATCAAAATGACCATATGCTTCATTTCTGAAACCAGTGCTCTCTCGCCGTTGTTAAAGACGGGCAAACCGATGTGAATTTACCCTAACCAGCAGTAAATACATACATATTTCTGAGGTGGTACAACCCTGACATTAGTGTTTTCATGAATTATCGACACCGGGCAGAAAGTTCACACTCTCCGCGCCTCACTCAGCCCACGCGTCCTCTCGTCTCCTCTCAAGCTCGTAAAACACCACGGCCGTCTTCTAAGCATCGGCCCTCGCTCGGTTTCTTTTCAACCGCCAACGCCGCTCAACCTCCGCCCACGTCTGCCCTTCTTCTCCAAATCCGCGGCAAAAAAAAAACTTCCAATCTCGATTAAGCCGTTAAACGTTAAACTCGTGGTGACGCCTCGGCCGTCATGGAAATGAGAGCGCGGGGAGCACACGAGATGTGAGAGCGACACTCTCAAGCTGCGGGTGCTAAAAAGGTGTTAGTGCTGCTATGGTGGAAAAACAAAAGCTCCCGTTTAAGTGGTCACCTCATTTAACGCAGGAAGGAAAAAGGAGACGCGGAGAGAGAAAGAAAAAGCTTCGTGGAGGTAGAATGTTTTCTCACAAAGAGTGAAGGGTTCATCCACAAGCCTGCATGCCGACCTCCAGAGGGGAAAGTGGTACCTAGCGTGGGATCGGAGGTGTGTTTTATGGATCGGCAGGCGGGCCTGAGGCGGGTTTCCATCTTCTCATTTTGAACAGAAGGCGAATAACAGTGTTCCAAAAGTTGTATTCATGGGAAACAAGTCAAGTTTAACAAATAATACAGTTAACAATAATCCTGGTTTTATATTTGATTTTAGACTATAAGTACGACACCTCCACCACAGCAGACTTTTAGAAAGGATGCCAGCAGCAGTGGGGGCCAACACAATTCATCTATTCCTACCAGCTTTCCTCTGTTGGAGTACTGCTTTCACATTGAGCTAATTCATTTTGTCAGACTGCAATGAACTCCAGTTGTGAGCTGTTTGAGCACATGAAAGCCGACACTCCGCTGACAGAGCACAGGAGGAGTCCCTAATTTTAGGCCGCGCCAACGTTCACTGTTTTAACACTCGCTCGCGATACGTCGCAAACACAAACGTCCACGCGTGCTTGTTCGTGGGCTTGCCAACGATTCGGCCGGGACACATGAAAAGCAGTCACCTAGCATATCTTACTTTTACCTGATCCGCGCAGAACGCACCCATTAACGGCCTTCGAGGACGACGTTCGTAACCCGACAACACTCCACATGATGCAACTTGAAGCGTGTCCGTCACCTAGCAACAAAGCATCACACCTACCTCAGGAGCATTTGTGGAAATTTGCCATCACTTCGTTTGTCACATCCTCCCATGACAACCCCCCCACCCCCCACAGCCCCTCCCTCCACGTTCTCCTTACACGGATGTGACCCGAAGAGAGGGGGGTCCCATGGGACTGAGACGTTTAGGCCCAGCAGGGAGTTTCATGCGCTGCGTCTGTCACTGAGCGGCTAACATTACAATCTAGGAGTCCCTTAGCCTCCGAGTGGCAGAGCGGTGTGCTGCCGATAGGTAATCCCATCACAGAGGTCCAGGGGTGATTAACGTGATGCCTCTGCAGCACGCTGGCGCGGCCTTGAGCGTGTCAGGAGGTGCTTTGCGACCCGCTGTCCTCACGGATGTCCGGACTCATTACCATGCTAATAGGGGGGCCGGTTTTGTTCCTCGCTCGGCCTCCCTCCGTGTCCGTCTCAGTCTCAGCCGCTCACTGATTTGTCATTCTAGCCACGGTTTGGCCTGGTTGTAAAGGGGAGTGTGAACCATCAGAGAAAAGGGGGACGAGTGAGGTGCCTGGTGCAGCCAGCTGCTCCCAACTCATCCACTGATGCCAAGCAAAAGGGTGAGAGTACCAGCTGGGCCGAAGGCAACAGCAGGTGGGCCGGCACGGAATGAACAGGGCAAAAAATAACAGCGTGCCCTTTATTTAATTCCACAGGAACACATATCGTTTTATATTAAAAGATGAAACGGGAACATCGACTGCAAGCTTTGTTTTCTTCTGATTTTTTTAAGCTTCCTGCGCTATTTGTCATAATTAAAGTAGAACTCGCTTGTATTCTGCTCAATCAATCTGTGATGTTATTTGTCAGTCACTGCACAGAGTGAGAGCACAGCACACACACACAAGCTCAACACAATTAGAGTTAGTCCCTGTCGGACAAAATCAATCTTTTAAACAGCTCGACGAAGGTAATCGCTAAAGAATCTGCCTTAGCACATTTCCTGTATTTTAAAATGTGGTCTCAGCGGGACTCCTTTTTTGGATGAGAAACTATAGACAATATAGGCTGAAACGCGCCCTGGAGCTCTGTGAAGTTAAGGGGATCTGCAGATTAAGGGGATAACAAATTCCAACGAGGCGTTTACATTTTCATTTGAAACACATATAGTCAAAGAATATAGTTTGTAGCCGTTCTAAATTAATAATACTTTAGAGTCACCAGAGGGGCAGCAGGTGATTCACAAGACCAGGACGCTAGGCTCTGCAGACCATAATGATTATTTACAACATTGTTAGAATGTAACTAATGATACGCAAGCATCTAACCATCAAACTACAGCATTGCCCACCACTGTTCAGTCGACCCAACCACCATCATTACGTTTCATCCTCTAACTGGAAACAGGGACCAGTTAAGCTGCTGCGTCCCCTTTGTTTTAATCTGAAATTGTTTGATAAATGCCCTCCGCTGACTGCCGCTGCGACCCGCTCGTCGGAGCCTCCTTGGCTGAGGGTTTTATCCTGACATTTCAGCTTACTTTCTTAATCAAGATCGTCTTGTTCTGTGCTACAATAATTCCTTGGCGGAACATCTCTTGAGCTGAGGATTAACCGAACGCCACTGGAACCGCCGCATATCTTAACCGTGTGACATGTCCACCCTCTGAAGAAGTTAAAACGCACCCTCTCCTCCTGCATTGTGTTTACTGTGAAGCTTTGCACACTTAGTAGCATGACAGCAATCCTGTGGTTTGAACAAGTGGGAAAAAAAACACTTATTTCTATTTTTTTTTTAATAGATCCCTTCCTTTGCTCGCCTCTGAGACATGAGCGGCACGCCACGAGAAACTCCAAAGCGAAGGTATTCTCAGACTGCTCAGCCTCCTTCCATGGTGGCGAGGAACTCGTGAGATAAAATATGCAAGATCCTCTAAAATAGTAAACTTTACTTTGCTTTCACATTGACAAAAAAAACGCTGGCAGATGTTCTGTTTGAGTAAACAACGTGCTACGAAATTACATGTGACATTTAAAAAATGTATGATGACTGTTGTTGTTTTGTGCGAGGGAATAAGACTCGTGCCAAGAGAAAGAGAGAGAAGAGAACCAGGGAATGGCTCTGGATTTTACACTGGCTGCTCCTGTCAGTGCCAAGCAGCAGGAACTTATGGATGGGGAGTTCATGCGTATGTGTGTGTGTGTGTGTGTGTGTGTATGTGAGGGTTGAGGGTTGAGGGAGGAACTTCTGTGTGTCCTAAGGGACGCCTGATCCACGCCTTGGCCTACTCCGACAACCAGATGAGTGGTTATGCAACTGCAGAAGCTGACTAACGTCCAACACTGGTTAATGAGGAGCTACATCTGTAATAACCTAGTTTAAAACAGCATCAGACGCAAGACCTCAATGTGTAACTGCATGAACAGACTGTGGGAATGCATTCGGCGTGTTCTTGCATGGCAGCGGCCACATATATGATTCATGTTTGTATCTTCACGGGAGGGGGGGGTAAAATATAAAGAAGACATTTTGTCATTTTGAGCCGTTTTTTGTTCTAACCTCCAAAGTACGATCCATCAGTCAGCTTCATCTCCTTGTTGAACTTGGTGATGACACTTGCGACCCCGTGCTGAATGAAGTACATCTTCTTGCCGACCGTGCCCTCTCGGATAATGTAGTCGTTGGGTTGAAAGACCTCAAACTTTAGCTTGCTCAGCATCCCCGTCACGAAGTTGGGGTCAGCGTTAGCAAACAAAGGCATGGTGGCCACAAGCTTACGGCAATTGAAGTTGACAATTTCCTGGTGGAGTAAAGAAAAAAGGAAAGAAAGTGCCGGTTAAACAAATTAGACCACGTGGCGTGCCACAACAGCCTCCACCTACAAACGACCGTCGGTCGGGTCATCTGAACCACCGCCCCACATCCTGCTGCTTTTCTCTACTCGGATGAGCACCGCTGCTTCATCCCTAATACCTCTAAAGCAATTCCCATCACTCCTAAGAATAAACTTCTTGGCACACGAGTCAGGCCCTGATGAGTTTGCGCCCTGTGGTCCCGGCTGCAGGCCATCTCGCTGGTCTCATCCTGTCCCCTCGGACCCGGCAGGAGATTAGGAGCTTGTTGCCTGTTTACCCATACATCTCTGTTGCTGTGCGGGTGGAAAGCTGTGGCACTGCGTTGGTGTGCTGTTGCCCCCCCCCCCACCTCCCCCCACCCCAGCCAGTGAGGGATAACTCTCCTCCAGTGACAACAGGACATTGACAGAGAGATAACCAATTTCTGGGACGCTCGCAAAGAGATGTAAGCTCAGCCTCAGATGCCGGTGTCAGCTAATGCCACGGGGGCTCTGACCTCATTCATGCACCACGACTAATGAATTAGATAGTAAGCAGTTTTCTGGGGGGGAGCAGAAAAAAACAGCAAAACAGTTCAACTGTAATGTTGTATTTTGGCCCAATAATGAAAACTGCATAGATTTGACAACGGTTATGCTTTATATTTTTGTTTCATTGCTCTGGAAATCATAACTATTTATTTATATTTATAGCGGTACAATATTGTACAGATATTTGTTGGTGCGTACGTGGGCATGAGGAATCTGAGACATCCGCTGCTAAATGGCAAAACATTCAATGCAATCATCCTTTTCTTTTTTTTCATGTTTGGTTCTAAGTTGTCTAATAACAAATCCATTCAATTCTTTGCGGCAGCAAACAATCAGCTATTGGATGTTGGAGTGTCCTAAAAAGAAATCATTCCACCATCATCCATAGCGGTACACCATTAACTGAATGGGTTGCTTTAAGCATCATTACCTTTTGATTACACATCGAACCCAAAGCTATTTCTCCCACTGAAAAGGAGTTGTCATGGGAGTCGCTGGTGGTCATAAAAGCCTCGTGATAAATTATGTGCCAGAATCAGTTAAAGTACACTTGGGCCGATTTCATGGCCCTCGTTTGGTCCAAAGTGAATGAGAGTGCTGCTAAGCGGAGTTGATTTTGATCCCAAATTGACCTGCAGGTCAACAGCCCCAGAATTGTGCTGGACACTTGGCAATCAGCCCGACTCAGCTACTTTAGTCTGAGTTAGTCCTCCTGGAATGGGTCTGGGATGGAGCTGCATAGATTATTTGGTGGTAAATAGTTAGGAACTAGATGGACACTCAGATTGAAAATGAAACCACGCTTCTTCCTTACTTTGTCTCTCCAAACTAAAGTCGTATTGCACTGACCGAAACAGATGTGTCGAGCAGAGAAGTAAATCATTTCAGTATTATTCAAATAGGAGTTGTCAAAAGCAAACTCATTTAGAGAAGTAGCATTGACATTACTCATCTAGCTTTTTAAAAGGATGGTCTAAGAGGAGAAGAGGAGTCGCGTGCAGGTGGGTAACTAAATACTAAATGACCTAAAGAACATGGCAGTAACACGCTCTGTAACACATGTGAATGTGTGTTCAGGAATCACGGTATTATTTACGTATATTTGCCTTGTTTTGCTTCGGCGTCTGTCCCAGTGGCAAAGCTTCCATTGTGTCTGTCTGCAGATCTGGACTTAGCTTGCTCGGCACGGCGGACTAGGCCTGAAGGATTCTCTGCGTCTGGGACTGCACCTCCCTTTGAGTGTGTGGGATGGTGCAGCAGCCCCCCGCTCCCTCTGCCCCCCCCCCCCACACGGTGACTTAATGGGGCTTTATGAAGGATGGTCACGATTCCTATGCTCGCTTTGCTTTTCAATGCGCTCTTCTCCCATGCACCTATGCTTAATTACCCATGTAATCTGCTGCGATGAAGAGGTCAGCCACGCTATTCAAAACTGCTCACCGACTCCACTATAATCTGCCCCTCTTGATAAGGGGGAATAACATATATAGTACCCTGGATCCTCAGGTTGTGTACCTCTACTACTAAGAACTTATCGTATACGAAACAAACTCAGCTCAGGTTGTTGTACTGAAATTGAGGCTCAGGTAACGTTTCTGGTGCAGATTATTTTCATCTCTGATGAGTCCGGGTTCACTGAGGATGCTGAGGAGAATCCGTTATTATAAAATGAGATGAGGGGGTTAGTATTTCAGCTTCAGGTGCTGCACGCTCGAAGGCGCCAAATGAAGATTCGCGCTTCATCTTGAGGGAATAAACTCATTCATGTTTTCAAATTAAAACCACTGGGTGACAGTTTACCTGTCAAGAAGCTTTCTTTTTTTGTTTTTCCTGTTTTTTACCTGTTCCAAAAATAAACCTTCAAATGAACCCTCTCGAAAAAAAAAGATGTGTTGCTAGTTGAAAGAACTCTACTTTCGATTTAGTTTAGGCTCTTAACACAGAAGTGGTCTCACCTCTTTGAGCGGGTCGTTGAGTTCACTCAGGATGTTGTCCTCGTCAAAGATCTTGCCCTGGTAGCGATGCTCGTAGTAGTCGTGGATTTTCTGCCGCATGTCTGCTGGAAGCTTGTGGAAGGACATGTATTGCTCCACTTGCTTGTACTGGGAAGACAAAGAAAGCAGATGATCATCAGTTGCTGCACGTGTTCTCGCACCAACCGACACACAAACACACGAGGCTCTTCCAAAGTGTGATCTTCTCCCGGTGTGTATTTGTGTCTCTGCATCGAGGACAAGCAGTCACGGTGCCGTGTCCTGGTTCCGTGTGCATGCGGAGGCAGAGACAGAACGAGGGAGGCAGGTGGTGCAGGGAAGTAGGAACAAGCACAGGCCTCCGGCTATGTCAGACCAAGGTAGCAGTTCTGATTATCTCACCCGTGCAGGAAGCCAGGTCCTAATGGGAAACCGAGCTGTACGACCTCATGTGAACCAGCGAGGTTTACCTGATATCTCGGAGAGAGAGACGTGGAGGCCGCATGACAACGAGCCAGATGGTTCGAAATTGCATGACTGGCAATTATTTGCATGATTTGTCATTTCTTTAATCCTGAGTGCATGAGCTGTGCAGAGTACAGAATTGATTTTAGCTTCAAAGGGACACTCGTCTGTTATAATGTTGTTTCCTAACGAAATGTGAAGTACTTGTAAACTGATTTGGTGCATGAATTGTGCTGTATAAGTAAGCTTGCCTCGCCCATAAGCTGTTAATGAGCCACTGTTACAGTATATCAATAATAAAAGATTCACTAAACATCATGATCAAGAACTAGTAAACTACAAAAAAAACCTTTAAAAATGTCTTCATTTCAATGAAAAAAAGTAATAGTTTAACATTTTAATGTATTAAAGGACAAATAATAGTAGCAATAATTTAGTCCAAATTATTTGTTTTTCATATGCAACTTAACTCTTATTCAAGGTATTGTTACTGTAAACTGAACCGCTGGTTCAATAGTCTGTAGTTATTTTGCTCTGAATACAATTTGTACCAAGGGCAATGTATTGAATTCATTTCCTTACGAGTTAGAGGGATGTAGCTTTTGATGGTAATTTAAAATGAAAACATATTAAAACCATCGTGGTTGTTACTCTTACTGTCGGACTGAGGGACTGAGGGAGAAGGAAAAATATTAAACCGTTTTGTAGCCTAACCATCAGTAAGCCAGATCCAGTGACTATTTTGTTTCCTTTTCTTAGTGCACATGCACAGCTGGACGCAGGACTTTTCCATTTGTGCAATATTGCACGTAACAAGATGTGGGAACTGTCCCGTTTGTGGTTTTTCACTTCATTCTAGCGGGGCCTCAAATTCTATCCGCGAGCCATTTATTGACCCAAAGAAGAGGGCAAAAGAGAGAATACGCCGGCTAATCTATTTTGATCAGTCTCCCTCCTCACACCGGCGTTCCGCAGACAGAGCCAGCGCTGTGAAAAGAATCTTTCCAGACAGTCCAAGGCCCTGACACCTGAGAAGAAAAAAAAAAACACTGTCTCCCACAAGGCCTCTGGGAATTACAACAGATCAATGGGTGAGGGCCAAAAAGTAGCTGCGTGGTTGGGAGTCTAGTCCAGTGGCAGGCTCCCAGGATGCAAACATGGCCCACAAAATGAGATTTGTCCGTGAGAAAGAAGAAGACACTTTAGTCACATTAACGGCTGCAGCATTATGACGCTGATGCTGTGATTGAGTTTAAAGTGGAAGCGCGCGGGTGTTTCGCTTATTCAGGCACTGAGCATGACGTGACGTCCACCGGTACTTCAGGTGCGATATGTGGCCTCCGGCTTAAGCCATTGTTGTCATAACAAAGACTATAAATATATTGCTCCTCATTCATGTCTCCCGCTCTCTATCTAGAGAGTCAGTTCTAAGCTCCCATGGGGATGAAACCTTGGGTACAAAATTAATCCCACTTCGGTTCTCACCAGTGGCGCCACCAGGCCTGTTGATTGTATTAGACGGAGGGGCTTCTGTTGTCTGCATGAATAATAATGTTATTATGAGCCGTAAGATGTGGGAGGTCTGGTGAATGTGCTCTAAGTTGGACCATTCGGTCGACAGGATAGAAATGTTTCTGCCAGAGCTACCTCTTTCCCCCTGATTCCTGGCTTTATGCTAAGCTAAGCTAACATCTGCTGCTATACAGTAGCTTCATATTTAAAGCACTGACATCAAAGTGATATCAGTCGTTTTTTCATCTGCTTCTCGGCAAGACAGTAAACAAGCAAATTTCTTAACTATTTCTTCTATAGGGCAAATGCAGAATTATGCATAGAGTATATTAAATTTACATACATGCATGCGGATTTAAATGTTTTCTATGTAAAGTTTATCACGAGCACACAAGTAGTTCTCTTAACCCAGTATGTGAATAAGGCAAAGGTTATTAATGCAGAGCCGCTGGATGACACACAGCTGTGTGATGGCTTACAATGATTCAGCACCAGGACACCACAACATGTCGGGGGACTATGAATGTTTTACGCCGTCATTTCCTCCCCCTCCCTCCCTCCCTCCCGCTCTCTCCATCCACATCTTTCTCTTAATCCGTTTCCGTCCATCTCTTCAAATGACGGCCGTGTTCTTGAAAGCAGTCTTTGTAATTGTAAGTAAAACATATCTTCGAGAATCATTACTTGCACTTTTTTTTTCTCTCTCCCGTCCTCGTCTCCTCATAAACAACCCTCCCTCCTTAGCCACTGTCTAACCTCACACCAACATCCATCCCCCCATGTTTCCGACCCCCCGGCGGTGACAGTTGAAAGATGTGACGACTACAGGCTGAGCACCCTGAACCCGTCCCTGCTGCTGCTCAGCCTGCTCCATTGATATGCACAGCCATGCGGCAAATCTGCCCGAGCCGAATCCGGCTCCACACTGGGGCCCCGTTACCACAACGTGGCATTTGCAGCGTGAAAGTTGTCAGATCGATGCCGGGAGGGATGTTTAAAGGGCTAAAGCGGGACGTGGATGAAGCAGATTTGCTGCGAAGCAGATGTGCATCGTACAGTGAGCAAGACGCATTTCACTAATTCAAACAGGGGCCGCAAATGTGGGCTGTGGGCGACTCGGACCTCCGTCGTAACCGGCCCGGATCAGTCCTGTTTGCAACAATCGTGAATTCAAGATTCATTCCACGGACTTGTTTTATTTTTTTACTTATTATTATGCCTGACAGGAGGACATTTACCAGTGCGTAAGTGAGTGGTGACCCTTTATTGCCCGATCTAAAGCCCCATTCCTCCCGTAGTCCAAAGACACGCAGGATAGGTTAATTGGAGACTTTTATATCGCCTGTGGTTGTGTGAACTTTTTTCTACTTCAGCCCTACAATTGACACGGCGACCCGTCCAGGCTTTTCCCCCGATGCCCGCGGGGATGGACTGCAGCCCCTGCACGGCCCTCTGAGGACGAGCTGTAGAGAAGATGACTGCCTGACTGCGGCGTCGGTGGCTTTGTGCTGTAATGATACTGCAACAATTACTATTGTGTTTTACATAAAGGCATAGAAGCTTGTGCTCCTAATGATGCGTTTTAAGTGCCATATATAACAACACTGCAATGCTGCACCAAAAACCCACGGACCAGCCACAGAGGGGTTGTTTCTGTTCTAATTGACCATGGAAGCGGTTGGCAAGGTCAGGACAGCTTTCCAGAATGATTCCATAACAGCTAAATGCTTTTATACGGGAGGTGTGCATTAATGAACTGATACTTTGGCATGTCTTGTTATAGTCAAAGCCAAGGTGACTCGGCCGAGTCGATGCTCTGAGGAAAATCATGGCGACAACCTCCAGCTGGATAATTGAGGTGTACATTGTGTTCATCAGTCCAGTCCTGCCTGAGTGTGTGTCTGTGATTGTGCTCACGTGAATACAGTCGGGCTGCTTCGATTATCTGTCCAAACCTGATTGGTCCTGACCAATTAGTCAATGATGGGAGTTTTTCAAATCCTGCATGTTATTAATGAGGAGAATGTCATGCAACGTCCATCTGATATATATAGCAATGGCAAATGACAGTTTTGGGCCTGTGCAGATCATTTGGTATTGGAAAATCAGAGATTGGGACACTAATGTGTTTGATGCGGCACTGAAAAGGCTTCTTGTGTAATGCTTCATTCATAACATCCAAAATCATCAGTGTACAGTGAAAGTCAAAATGTGGTTATCTAACAAAATATTCTGCTTGAAACTATATTCATGAATGGCTTTCAATATTTTCTACTCAAGAGTTTCTACCACAGGCCGGTACTAATTTGAATCCATTGCTCCTTTATTTTGAACACTGTCAGAAGACACATCATGTATACTGTAAAATGACGACATAGTTGTTTTGAATCAGTCTGTCTGTGATTACATCACCCGGGTCAAAGATTGACTGTTCATTTTAATCAAAACTTATGTCCTTAAGTGGATGAAGGCGTCCAAAAGAGGACTGTAATCCCCTGCACTGCGATAGTGTATGTATGCACACACAATCCTGCAAGTGTGGACAAAGTTTGGGATTTAAAGTCAGCTCCTTGCGTGCGAGCTCAAATCGCAGTTACGGCCACGTGGTGTGGGAATTGCCCAGGCCCCCTCAGCGGGATCACAGATGGTGGCCCGGCTGAACTGCTGGATAATCAAATTCCACCCGGGGAAAAAAAAAAAAAATGAAATCCTGACCAAAAACTGATGTAAGAGGGAGTGAAATGAAACGGAAAAATACAATGTGTTCACAGGCAGCGTATCGGCAAAGAGTCGGCTGGTCGTGTCACAGACCTCTTCACCCCGTTGGCCTCGTATGATCTGCTCGGGGAAATAAAATCCTCTTTCCTAGTCATCGCCCCGGATATGGTGATCTGTGAGAGCTCAACCCATTGGGCCACCGAGAGAAGGCCTAATTTAGTTCAGTCTAGCTCCAACGAGCAGGATCTTACTCTGCCGGAAAGAGCAAAACCCGCAGAGATTAACATGCAAGACCGTCCCGCTGGTTTTTAGGATTAGTTACCCTAAAACAACAAAACATGACAGAGATTTGTCCATCATCTCAGATGTTTCACGTCGCGGCTCGGTGCTTACCTTCTCTTGGTACTGCCTGCGCGAGGAGTCCAGAGATTGAATCAGAGCTGTTGCGTGTCCCACGAACATGGCGTAGCACGTGGCTCCCACGATCATGCTCAGCATGGTGATCCACAGGTCAGACATGCTGACGGGGGCCCGCGCGCCGTACCCGATGCACAGCATGTGGCTCATGGCTTTGAAGAGGGCGTAAGAGTACTGCTTGCCCCAGGAAACATTCTGCAGGGGGCAAAGTTAGAGAGACAGAGAGGGGGTGGGGGGGGGAGTTACTGCAAGGCAAGGCAGGGTGGGAAGTAGGGGTGTAACGATTCATACAGTGAATCGATTAATCAATTTATATTCCTGCGATCCAACTGAATCGATCTGGGCTCCGCAAATCGGCATTCCGGACGACATATATCGATTACAACGCCGACAGTCAGGACCTCCAGCAGCGTTACCGCTGCAGCAGCAGGTAACTCCAGCTCTGCAGACACCTCAGGCCTCGCCAGCACCAAACTCAACATCACAGCAACAATTGCCAAGTTTATCTGTAAAGACATGCGACCCTACAATGAGGTTGAAAATCCGGGGTTCTGTGAATTGATCCAAACATTGTGTAATTATTGTGTAATGTTTACATTGAAAATGGCACTTGATTCAAATAAAAGGTTAATACATTTGCCATTAATTGTTGTTTGCTTGTTTATAATATCCATAATTAATTTAAACCCGATTTCCTTACAAGAAACAACAGGGATCTCAGAAACTTTGTCCAGTCACTGAACAAAGTCACTGAATCGAATCGAATCGAATCGTTCTAAATCAACCCAGATCGTCCATGAATCGAATCGGCAACCATGAATCGCGTTTCGAATCGAATCGTTGTTAAAATGAATCGTACACCCGTAGTGGGAAGGCATTCCAGCAGGCACAATATAACACGCTCTTTCACAGCCTGGCGCCCGCACTGAGGGGCTGAACTTCATTTCCATTCAACACCCTCTATGCTCGGACCCACCTGTTTTTTTTCATCTTCCCATTTGCTAAGGAGAGCAAATCAGCTCATGTTTGCAAGAATTAAAAAAAGCCCCAAACTTGCATTATTTAAAAAAAGCCAAAGGAATTGTTTTCTTGAACGCCCTTGTCTCTCTCTCTCTCTGGCTTGGTTTGTGTTCCAATGGGCTCTGTGTGGTTGATAATGGCTAATAGCAAAATGAAAGGAAGTAATCTGCGCCGGGTTTGAGTCACTCCTTTCTCCTCACAAAGTGACTTCCTCTTTTGTGCCTTTAACTACTACACTTGAGTCGGGTTCACAGGGTCCCGGTTATCCAATCATGTGTTCAGCTGGGTCAATTTCATTGTCATCATCATCATTACTCAGAGCCCAGTTGTATGAAAAGACGCTGATTGAAAGAAGGAAGAAGTTTAATTCCGCAGCACAACATCAGCTTCTACGTCTCCTCGGGTCAATCGCTTGAATTTAACAATATGCACCGTGAGATTGAGGTATTAAGATACTGTACTGATGCAGATTAAGAGGGACCATGTTGCCTTATTTCATCCTGCATAACTGGGGAGGGAATAAACACTCCCCATGAAGTTGTCATGAAGTTGCTTTCTTCAGGAGGTCAGTGTGCTTCACGCTTCAATTGCTTGTCAGATCACCGAACAGCTTCTGAAAGGCCCTCCTCCCACATCTCTCCGTTGTCGGAATTCAGGAGAACGCGTTCGACAATTTCTTTAACTTTGAGAAACCTTAGGGCGCCCAACCCCATACGCGACTTCATAGTTCACCTCCGTATTTCTTTTTATTATTCCTTGACGTCGAGCCTCGGGAGGAGTCATTATTACAGTATATGTCAAATCGGTGCCTTTTCGCCCCCGAAGACGCACGGAATCTCTGGCGAGCACAGCGGAGATCGTCCCGCCGAGGCTACATCTGCGAAACCCAGTAAGTCTCCTTTCTGGAGACAAATGCGACAGCTCTGCGCTTCAGGCCTCGCAGCGAGCGGCCAAGTCGCCGACTCCTCCAACAGCTTCACCTCCTGTGGACAAGAAATGCTGACAGAGCGCACCAGATGGAATATCTATCTCAACCACAACAGAATATCCAAAGAAATATGAAAGTGTATTTAAACTCTTTTGAGTCATTCTTCACTGGCTGACATAGTAGCACATTGTAACGTCCCATCACGACTGGTACATTTCAAGCTAATCATGTGCTCCGGATGACTCACCAATTCTTATCGTCATGCTGATTAGTTTCATTCTTTCACAGAGATTGATTGTCACAACACAGCTTTAATAACAAATACGGTGCCGTTTTTTGTCCATCAGATGTTTTCACTGCACCTTCCTGCACCATAAGATCCTTGGATGATGCTTCATTGTTATTCCAAGGTCCAGATATGAAGGTGATGCAGCCAATGAGGCTCCTTGACTGTGAGACGACCTTCCTGAGGAGATCAGGGCTACAAACTCTGTCCCATATTTTAAATCACCTTTAAAACTTGGCTTTTTATTTTATTGTTTATTGACATATACTTTACTTCAATCTCAATGTTTTTACGTGTTAATTTTCAGATTTTTAGAATTTTATCATGCTATGTTTTTTAAATGTGTTCTGTTTTTATTTCATCTGCCATTTAAATAGTTGACATATTGTAATTCATTTTTTTTAATCCCAATACACATTGTGTTAAAGCTTTTTCTTTTGTAATTCGCATTGCATCAAATTCTTCTCTCTCACACACACAGATACACAACAACAACAATCCCATCCAACCATCCAACTGGCAAAAATACCATTTTGTGAGGTCATGAGCCTTAGGTGTCACTGCACACGTGTATATCTGGTTGAAATGGTGGGCAACGCAGCAGAATGTTTGCGTTGACACGTGCGTGTGCACGGGAAAGCACACACATTTTTGTTGTTTTTTTGCCGGGTGAAAACAGATAAGCTAGGGTGACTCAACGCACCTTTTGCTATTTGTCCTTGTATGCGTTTGGTGCAGACTGCATGGAGGGTGCTGTCTAATCCCATTGTGTTACAGGTTATGGGGATTGGGATTTTTCATCACATCTCAGAGCGCTGTCATATTTCAGATGGTTGCTCACATTTATTTTTAAAAGAGGATAATTTACCCACACAGCCAGACATCAGTTTAATGGATGCATGTTGAATCTTTTGCAAATTTAGTGCAGAATTGACAATAAGCCACTAAGACATTTCGGATAGGGCAGGTTTAAAACGTCCGACACTTTGACAGACGGGGCTATCGGACTGGGACAGAGTGATAAAGAGAGACCTTTGTTAACAAAGAATGTTGCTGCACTGATAATAATAATGGTCATTTAATCTATATATCGCATTTCAAGAGCAGATGACACACAAGGGCTTCACAGCAAAATCCTTAAAAGAAGTACATAGGAATGACTTTGGCCACAGTTTTCATTGATCTTATGTCCAATTGGAGAGACATTTATAGTGTACAAGCGACAACAACCTCGAAAGCCCAGTTTCCTTTTGACTTGAACAAGGAACAAGGAACAGCCGAAAAACAACTGATGACCTCGGACAGCCGATGCTGATGAAGGGCTAAAAGAGCCTCTAAAAAGTGGACAGGCTTCTAAATGTCATCACAGGAACTAGAAGAGCCCGTAGGAAGAGAATTAGAGTCACATTTGACCTTTTGGGGGCACTTGGTCGAGAGCATTATTACTGATTTTGTCTTGTAATAAACATACTCCCTTTGCGCGGCAGGTCATTTATAAATCCCTGAGTCGGTCTCCCGGCAGTTGAAATTGGCCAACCGACCGAATGGGGCACCACGTTGCTAAACCAATCATATTGTTGCTTTTAAAATTTTTTAAAGGGTTTCTCTCCGTTGTTCCCATCAGGTGCCGTCAAGGCAAACTTCACAGTCACCCTCGGATTCTACAACTTCCTTCTTCGCCAGCGGAGCGCAACTCAACATCACGGCCCCTTGATTATCCTGGTTTGGGACAAAGATTTTGCACTATTTCAATGTTATTAAATGTATTGTCAATTCGGAACGAGTCTCTCCTGATTGAAGTATATTTGTTACTTTGTTGCGATGTTCTTTGGGAAGAGTGAGTCAGTGCAGTTTTACCCCCAGAGAACGCCGCTTCTGCTGCTCTTCCTATTCTCGACAATCCCTTTGATTTTAATAATTGCAGCTAACAAAGTGAATTTATTCAGAGTTCTACATTTATTTAGGCTCTGGAGGCAGAAAAACACGTGACATCGTCTACTGCATATTCATCTCTGTCTAGCTCTGCATTTTTGTTTATAACTACAAGTAAAATTCATTCAAAGACTTTATTATCACATTCATTACAACTAATCTCAAATCTAACTTAAAAGTTGGTATAAAACAGACGCGTTAGCAGAGTCTGATTATGTGAGTAGGAAGGAAGGTGAATTAGTGAAAGCCAAATCCATTTCCTTTGATATTATTGTGAATATTTGAATCTTTGGAATGTGTAGGTTTTTCTTTTTTGTGTATGTTTTCGCTGTGAAATTTGTAATTTAATTCCCTTTTTTCAAATAAAATGTTCATGTTTAATTCCAGGTAAACGCTGCCCTCTAAGCAGAGACATCCGCATTAGCTAGTTTTAATTACTCAATCATATAACTGTCTAAAATCCGGCAAGCTGTTCCGTGGAATTGTGATGCACAATGTTCATTTTCAATTGCGTAATCCAACTACAAGCTGTTCTCCCTGGGAGTGCACAGAAGGCACAACATAAGAGAGCCAGTGCAGGGATCTGCCGGCCTGCACGGTTACCGAGTTGGCAGGAGAAGCGCTCACAGCGGTGTTTCTCCACGTGGAGGTTGTGCTTCTTTTCGTCTCTCACTTTTTCAACCATCCGGATCAAAGATCCTCGTTGGCGTGCTTAAGCTTTCTAGTTTTCTTCGGCTGTTGTATTTTCTACTTGTTTGTACTGCTTTGCTTTAGTATGGAAAACTTACCTCCATTTTTAAAAAATAATTCTGTATATAAATGTGAGTAGATGGGGGGGAAATTAGCATTATCATCTCTTGAAGAATGTTTTCAGTATTGTTTAATATTGTTATTATTATTTTGTTTATTGCATCATTTATAACTAAACTGTGTCACCCTGGTAAACCAATCTGATTTCTCACATGGGTAACGAATACCAATCATGTGCAGCAGCCAGTACCGCTGAGCGCAGCCTGAATCCCAAAGGTCACATGAAATAAAGTTGTCTGGTATTGAGATGAATTTTGCCTTCATAGATAATACAAGTGATCTTGTCAAATGTAAACCTCACCAAAAACGCACCACTGACACTGAGGGCTCTTGTTCCTACCAACCCCGCACACCCAACAACGCAACCGACATGATGTACTCTTCACCAGATAACAACCAGGGGGGGCACAGCTGTTCACATCAGGGCAAAAAGCCGCCTGCCGGGCGGATCGCTGTGTTCTCACGTTGAGGGCAAAAGTCACCAGTGAAGATTGATTAATTCATGAACTCTGGACTGAGCCCTGCTGCTGGAGGTGACTCATTCAGGGGTGAGGTAGAAAAGAAGGAAAAGAAGTGGTGAATGGTGAGGTGGTGCATAGCTGGCCTTCCGCGGAGGACGAATGCTAGCTATGCATGGTTGGGCCCTTCTGTTTCTCTTTCACTGTCGACCGCTATCAGTCTGCTCGTCTCCGAGACTTCAGTCCGCTGTCTGTCTCTTTAATACAAGAAGTGGAAGGAAACCGTGAGCACTCACAAGACACGGCATGGCCCTGCGTGCTGCCCAAACGCATATCTTTACCATGAACACGCGGACATCACCCTCGCACCTGAGCCAAAGCAGCGACGGCAGCATTATCTTGGTGATTAAGCAAATGCAGCCTCTGAAGAGTAAGAAGCTACTCTCAGGGCCATTAGTCGCGAAGATAACAGTCCTGCAGCCGCTGCTCGCACCACTCAGCGGTATCTGCAGTCCTCGATGGCCCCACTCTTCCTCCCACAGCTGGAGACCGAAAGCACCGATCCGACGCACTGAACTAAACGTGCCGCAATGTGAACGTAAAGCTGTCGTTCTTTGGCCTCTAAAAGACCCGGCCTACGGGGGTGGGGGGGGGGTGCAGGAGAAGCACGTTATATATTTGAAGAAAATATCTGATGAAGGTTCAGAGCTCGTGAACAGCAATGCACTGCGATGGTGTGAGAAGAGGAATCCACATCACTCCACCAAGTCCCAGTCAGTGACGTCATGTCAGCTGCTGACATCCCACAGTACAAAGATTGCGCTCACAAATGTGTCTCATTTAGGGCTACAACTGACATCGATTTCATCAAATATCTTTTCGGATTATTATTGGTGTCCTGCACAATCGTGTCACGTGCATACATGCATGTCATCTCAACACCAGAGAAGTAATCAAATCAGAAAGCAAGCTGGAAAAATGTAGCAAAATGAAAGTCCTGATTGCTTTCTGTTTATCCTCAGTTTATTTTGCAATATGTTGAATAAAAAAAAAACTGTGCGGAAAACTGTGAGCTGTATCTATATGGCGTTTTAAAAAACATATTTTTAATTTGTTTAAACATTTGTTTCTTTAATGTCATTAAAAGCTCAGAGATTATTGTCAAGCATTTACCCCGATGAAGGTCGAGAGACAAAAGTATCGTCTCTTTGGTGTGTGTATTTCCTTCTTATTATTTTTATTTTACATATGGTCAAGTTGGTTGGTGAATTGAAAAATGTATTTGTGGACATCATGGATTACTCACAAATCATCATGCTCAACATCTTATTTGAATTAAACTAAAACCCTGGCTTGTGGAGACATTGAATCTCTAATAATAACGTATTCACTGAGAAAGACGGCAGGAAAACATTTCACCAGAGGAGCTCAAACCAGAGAATGTTTGTCTTTTCAAAATGGTTACAGATTCATTATCCGTCTATCAACTAATTGACAAATTGACAAATCCTTTCAGCAGCCTCGACTCTGCCACAGTCTGTGTCTTCACACCTGAACACCAGAAGCAAAAAAAACGGACCAGATTCATGAAATATATGGTAATCCTAATCCAAGATGTTGTGAAACTGCCAAAACGTGAAAGCATTATTGTCCCTTGAGACTCCCGAACAGACAAACTCACGCAGTTCTATTTATAGGTCTGCAAGTCTCAGCTGCAGTCGGGAAACATGTCACCGGGAAACATGACACCAAAAACCACGAGCCGGGAGACGTCTTTTATAAATGTTGCTTACAAATGATTCCGGTTTCATTTCACCAGCCGCCTCTAAGCATCCGTCACGCAGGTACCCAACGTGTTATCGGCTTTCTTCAGAGGCCCTTGCGCGAATCCCGAGCCGCGGCGATGGATTGTAACCGTGCGAATGATCCCGCCACGCGGGGGGGCAGCCAATTAGCCTGCTACATGATCCCCGTTCCGTATTGATTTGCATACAAGAAAGGGAATATATCGGAGTCCTTCCGAGCAAGCGGGCGACCGAAAGTGCAATGACACAATTAATATGTATTTAGAGTAATGTTGATCAATGGAAAGTCTTAAAAACATGAGGAAGCACGAAGAAACTACATCACAGCAAATTGATTTGAGGTTCAAACACAGATGGCTGCTGCCCGTTTAGGATTATTCACACATGTTAGTTGGCACTGGGCTCAGTATGACGTCTCATGGCCTTGAAGTACAAATAGGAGACGGATACGGGGCTGTGATGTTCAGGGAAGCTGGCCTTTGCACCTCAGGGCCCGATGCCTCCGAGCAGTCGGTGTGCATGTGTGCGAGTACAGAAATGTTTGTCAGAGAGAGAGAGAGATGAGAGGGCAGGAGAGTTCCCCGGGCGAGCATTTGCAATCAGCATTACCCGGGAGGCCCGCACACACTCCGACGCTATCGCATTGCTCATAGAGGAGCAACCACAATCCGTTTGACCCCAACCCAGAGAGAGAGGGAGGGAGAGAGAGAGAGGGAGGGAGGTCAGACAGGAAGACAACCCACCAAAATGGCACAATATCGGGAGGCCATCAATTCGAAAAGAAATGAGTGTGTAAATACTATATACAAGGAATAGAAAAGCAGCAGCATTGGGATCCATGTGCGTTCTCACTGTACGCTACTGTATATTTATTTGTGTATCAATAGTATCTGACCAAGCAAATCTGTTGGTCTTCATCTCACCTTAGAATTATATGTATGCTGTACACTGTATGTAGCCAGTAAAACATATAACTTGTATACTTTCACACACCAAATGGCAAAAATAACAAACAATAGAGAAGAGTGAGTAATACTTACAACCATACCGTTTAGGGACACCCAGCAGTCAGGAGGGAAGTCTTGGAGGAGAGGGACCAGATACTGGAGGCAGCCATCCCAGTGACACAGAAGCAGCATCATCCCTATCAAATTAAATATTCTTACCACTGCACTAGCCAGGTCATAGGTCATATGGAAAATCTGCCGAAGAGAGAGAGAAAGACAGAGAGAGATCTCAGTTAAACATCTGTAGTGTCTGAAATGTGCGGATTTAGGTCTGTTAGTGTTAACGAACCATCACGTCGTGGTGTTTTTTTTCCCTTTTTAAAACGTTCACAAAAGTACAGCTTCGAAGTGGAGGGCACGGTGTGCCTGTTTGGCCACCAGAGAATTTGGTTGCCACCCATGTGTACGTGTGTGTGTGTGTGTGTACGTGTGTCCGTCACAAAGCTGCATTATTCAACATGGCTGCTTTCCAAAACAAACTGAGCAAAGAGGGAAATACACACACACACAGGAGGTTAGGCAGGGCGAGCGAAAGGGAATGAAATACTGAATGATAAAGGGAGTGCATACACCTGGAATAATCAGCCGGTGCGTGGGTTTAAATGCCACAACTGCTGGTGGGGCAATTTCATCAGAGCAGAGCATTTGAAAATAGAAAAGCCATCAGTGGGGCGAGCGAGCATATGTGCGTTATGAAGCGGCTTCATTCATGTTTGATCCGGGCGAAGAGAATCGCCTCACGCCCGGATGGCTGTAGCACTAATTTAGTGTTTCCCATTAGCATGAGAAACCCATTACTTCTTTCCAGGTTAGTTATTCCATAATCAGACTGACACTGAAGCTCATTTTACCCTTCAAAAAAAGTTAAATATGGAAAAGAAAGATGCTGATTTCTGGTTGGGGGATTTTTCATAATAAACCTCTGCAATTTGCAGTTTTATTGAATGGAAGACTTCAAGTAATTAGTATCTATTTTTAAGTTTATTGCTCTACAGTCTCTGTAGACTGCTCATTCTACTCATCATGGCAAATTATTTGGGCCTCTGGGTATGTTTTCCTACACTAGCGATTTATTGTTTGAGTTTCAAAATCTAGTTATGGAAGTAATAAAAAGATGACAGACTATAATAAAGATGTCAAGAAACACAATAGTCCCATAATGTGCATTACATCTAAATATATTTAGTTAAATTACTAATGACAGAACTTTGTTACAAAGCTCCAATTTCTAAACAAGCGTATTTTACTATAAATCAAAAAATTAGTTTTGGTGTTACAAGCCTTTTATGTCGTCTTCAGTTCTATTTCTGACTTATATACTTCAGAATTTAGTAAAAAAAAATACTGTCTACTGACCGAATTGCAAGAAGTTCCCTCCTTGTATGTAGAGCAACCACTCCAGAAAAGAAAGAAAACCTAAGCATGAACTTCATGTTTCACTGTGATGTAATCTGGCATAATTCTGCCCCCCCCCCCCTTTTAATCCAGGTGGTTTAAAACTCTTTAATGTGCATCTCTCCACACCGGCCTGTGGAGAGATGTCCGTCCTTTCTGTACAAAAGGACAATGTCCACACAGAGGAGACGAGAGAACAAGAGGCTGAGCTGATGCTCGGATCCCTCTGTGGTTCAACTCTTCCACGGGGAGGAACAGTGCACTGGCCTCACAGGCTAAAATTAGCCCCCAGTTTACAGGACTCAATGCACCCGGTATCTCTTCTGCTGCCTACATCTTCATTCTTAATGTAGCAGAACTCTCTGCCTCTATTATACGTGTATGTGTGTGTGTGTGTGTGTGTGTGTCTTCACATTCATTATGGTTTGGTGGCTAAATTGGCACAGGGAGCAAAAGAGAGCGCAACCGTGGAGAGAAAGAGAAAGACGGAAAGCTGACTGATGGAGGAATACGTTCTTGGAGGAGACTGGTAAACAGGAAGTAGGTCTTTGCTCCCCCTTTGACTTGCAAATGATTCTCACCAGGCCGAGATATAAAACAAGGTTGACTGAGTTTCTGCACGTGTCCTCTCTCGACGAATAAATTAAAAAAACAGCAAAAAGGAAAGGAGGTGAGAAGGTAACAAGGTGACACGTGGGAAGGTCATGGTGAGTTTTTTTCCATTTCACTTTGCTGGGAAGCGACCTCTGGGTCACGCTGAGTCAGCGAGGGCCGAGAGGAGACATGTAGAAACTCATTAACGCAATGTGGGGTTTGTTTGGGTTTGTATTTCATGGGCACCCTGCAGCAAAGGTCTGCTGGTGGCAGCAGGTAGCCACAAGGTGTTTTTCTAATAATATAGTTCTTAATAACAGAGGCGCCCGGAGTATATCACTCAGGTCAGGTCACGGGATTATACAAGATAACCTTCTTTGTTATTCAGGGTGGAGACGTGGCGATGCATTTTAACTACATCTTACTTCCTACGTCGTGCTTATGCTAATCGATTGCAAGGTGAGAAAAGAAACAAGAAGGTCAGACAGGGTGTGAAGGAATGAGGTCTCAGAGGATCCATGTCTGCTTAGTGGAGGGTGGGTGCTGTTTCACAATAAGATACTAAACAGTCCTCAACAACTTTCACACATGCGCATGTTGGCATCAGCAACTTTCGTTTAGTTGGCTGCACTCAATGGGTCTTGTTTGCGTGTCACACAATGATAATGAAGAGGATCTAATTTAGGAAGTTACTTAAATCAGCTACTTATGAACTAATAGCTTGAACGCTGGATCTAAAACCTACACTTGTTTGGATTATTAAATAATTGGGTAAATATGTTTCATTTACAGACAGCAGGCGGTTCATCTTCATTTTGGACGGTGGAACAAGCGAAAGGTTATTATGTAGCTGCTGATTCACTTTCCTTTGATCAACTAATAGTTTAAGCTTGAGGAGCAGCGTGGCATTAAGAGCTCGCCAACAACAAAATCATCGTTTTTTAAAGGGGTTTCGGGGCTCCTGATTGGTCGCAGCTGTCTGAATTTGGTTTCCCCTCTGCCTGTTGTTTGGGGAAGATGTGAGCGAAGCTGCTCTGCAAAAGCAGCCTGAATACGAGTTTACACTGTACTCTGTCATGGAGGACCCTGATTCCTCCTGTAGTGCTGTGGTCTGATGTGTGGGTGGGCTGTTTCTTCTCAACCCATTGATTCGATTCCGTGACCGTCACCCTCTTGGCGTGTTGACCCGCTTGCTTTCAAAGCCGAGCCTGGCTCCTGTCGTCACAACATCCCCATTTCCGCGGTGCAGTGGTCGCACATTTGCATGATCGCGCCCATGTGCCACAGGTTGAGAAGGCTCTTGTGAAACCTTTAACCATCTGCTTGCATTATAGGTGCACAGGAATAAGGTCCCTGAAGCCAGGCGCGTTGTCCACCCGAACGCTCCTGACCCGACGGGAGGAGACGGGCGCCGGACTGACCGAGAGCCAAAAGAATCACCATTACTCTCGGTTGGCATCGGCAAAATAAAAGGCTTAGAATTAAGAGCACTGAGATTAAATCTGACCGGGGGAGAGCGGAGGGGCACAGGTCGACATAATCCTCTAATACAGAGGAGACGGAACAGCCGAGATGCAACGTGATAGCTGCACAAGGATACACGCTGGTCGCATCCAGCCGGCACGCCCAACCTTTCATCGGGACAGTGAGGCGGGGCAGACGAGGAGTCGGATGTCAACCCGTGAGGTGTGTTTACACGCACAGGTACACGTATACACTACAACCAGATGTTATAATACCGTGGCAACCAAAACTTCAGTCTGGGGGTAAAAATCAGACACTTAAACCTTTACTGAGTAAGTCAGATTTATGCGCCAACTGTAGGCTGAGTCATGTATGTACAAAAAAAAAAACAGCATGCAGGAGAATTACTCATCATCAAGCTATGGGCCGACATCACGCAATTAGAAAGTGTTCTTTATGCATCTCCAAATTGGACATGTGTGACCTCTGCTTGAGGTTAGTGAGGATTAGCGAGGGACTAATTTGAGGGGATTAAAGCCACCACTGGCTATTACATTGAGGGATGACAAAACTGCTTCCAGGCAAATCTGGAATTCTGCTGCTTAACATCTTCTTGTAAATCTCCTTTTGGATCTCTTTTGCTGTTACTTAATCAAAAAATTACAGTGGAACTTGGATTTGAAAAATCATATCGTCACGTAAGACGAGTTCGCTGGGATTTCTCCTCCTTCTTGTTTTATGTAGATCAGAAAAGTTAATGCCAAACTGACTTGCAGCATCATTCTCTCCCTTTAAGAAATTCAGCTTGCTGGATGTTGTTACAACTCACGTGGCTGCAATGCCCCTCACCTGCATATATGTATAGCTCAGCAATATGTGAACGTAAATAGAGTTGGCATCATTTCAAGGCCTCAGGCTGCATGCAGTCTACCCGGAGAAGTCAATCAGTCTGCAAATCTGTCTACTGTGCAGACTGGAATAGACCAGACTACAGATGGAAAACTTTAAATATGAAACTCTTTGAGCAACGGCACTGCCGGGTAAAAACCGTTGTTTCTCTGTAGACAAAGCTCTGGATCTGCAGCAGTAATCTGTAGCCAGAGACTTAATTAAAAGGTGTGGATCAATGGGATCTTTACAAAGGCAGAAAGCAAGTAGCGAGCTGTTATGGTAACAGGGGACTGGTCATTGTTTCTTTACTGCATGCTGTACATGCGCAGTGAAGCGTGATATCCATGGAGGTAGTACAAGTAAAAGATGTAACAAGGAGTAAGCAGGGAGGTTTTCAGAGCGTGCCGTTATGAAGTTAATATTAACTACTTTATATTGGGCCTTTTATATGGTAAAGTACCAAGAAAAAGATGGAAAAAGTTTTCCATCTTAAATGTAGACGATTAGAAGTAAAATCAGCATTATGAAGTGACGTAAAATATAAACTATAAAAAAATCAGTACAGTAGTTAAGTCTACTCGATTTAGTTAAATACCTGCATTGTGATTGATTTAGTGGCCAGAGGTCTTTAGCATGGCGGCCACCCTCTGTTCCCTTCTTGTTTATTTGGATCCATTTAAGGTTTCTGCAACCTTTTTGTTAAAAATGTCAGCCGCCGAGCAGCATTTGACAAGCACTCAGTATTCAGTACTCATAAAACATTTGCGTCACTGCACTCACCGCCACCAATGAGCCCCAAGGAATAGTTTTGAAGCAAAAACTTAACGTTATGTGGAAATCTGAAGTGTCAG